ACCAGCGCCATTTAGTTTGATTCGATTTTGGTTGAATTTGACCGTTTTGTTTTTCAATCAGTCTAATGCAATACATCGATACGCGAAGATTCTTTATCTATCTTTCGCATATTTTCTCCTCTATATAGTTTCGTCATCAAATTTTTGTTTTCTATACTGAATTAATAAAACTTTACTTTATTTTATTATATTCGTAATTCATAAGTAATTCCCATTTTCGTTCAACGATAGATAGAAAAATGTCATACAGCTTAATAATAATAACTATCAATCACTAGTTGCCAACCATTATTTTTTCATCAAAGAAACAGAAGTTTGGCAGTTCGAGGAATAGTGATGGTGTACTGACTTATCCAAATAATTTACTCAGATGCGTGCATCTCAGTTGTACGGAAACACGCGGCTGATTCCGCGCATGCCACGCCATGTGCCACGGTCAAAATATCTATAAATAACACCTCGTCCCTTTTGAAATCGTAGGTGGCGAGATCTTATCTTCCTCCTGCTGTAACCGCGTTTGTTTGGATTTATTCGGGATTTCCTGCACGTGAAACCGGCATCACAAGAAAGAACTGTCTGCTCCAAAGGATTTATTTCCATTGGTGAGTCGCGCGACTCGTACGAGCCGTTTTTATGTACTATCTTCGACCGATGTTGCCATCGTCCCCGCCAGGATATCCCCGGAATCACGTGAGAAAATTTCAAGCGTCAACCTCGAGCACTTCTACTACTTCGTGCGTTTTAGCAATATCGTTTTAGCAATTCGCCCGCCATAGCCCGTTATCATCGTTCAACATGGAAAGAAAATTAAGGAGATTGTATTTCAAACGAATTATAAACGTTATTATAAAAACACGTTCCAGTAAGATTTCCCAATGCGTGCCGTTTGTATTGTTCATGTTTTGCGAAAGATTATGAAACGAAAGAAGAAAATAATGAAATTTCCGACGCATCAAGACCTTAGTCGCGTGAATAATTCACGAGAATGCTTTTAAGTGGTCTTAAAGGAAGGACGAAGGTTAGGTGTTCTGAAACGCATAGTGATGAGCGGTTACCCTTGTCAATAATCGCGAGGAATGCTTTTAGTTTTAAACCTCACTCGTCTAAGACTTTGGTTTGTCTCTGTGGCCTTCCCTGTGACCGCATCGTCGTTAATGGCCACCACGAAAGGATTTGAGTTCAGTTTCCACGGTTGTCTACGTCGATGGACGTTTCTCTTTACCCTTCTACTTTCCGCTCTACAGAGAATTTCTACTGATTTCGACTGATTCTCCCTAGTTCCAAACCTTCGTTCAAATAAGATCTCCAAACTAGACAAAATGTCGATCAACTTAAACGAGTATGATTGGTTTAAATCGATCATAGCACCGATTAAAATTGATTCGACCGATGAACCATCAATGAAATCGCTTGGCTTAAACAATTCTGTTTCTTTCGAATAGAGCCAATAACTCACTTTTACTAACACTAGAGGGTGTAGAAGAAGCGTAATTGACGGGCAGAACATGCGATCGTCTCCAGGCAATCCACCGACATAATCCACCCTCCTCTTTGTTTTTTTTTTTTTTTT